AGGCAGACAAGTAACCAGGAGAAGGTGAATCCCAGGGGCCAGGTGTCTGATACCGGGGACCAGGAGGCTTCCTGGAGGGGGTGCCCTCTCCACCTCAGGTCAGCCACCCCTGACCTCAGGCTCTACCTCAGGTCCAGCCCCCTGCTGCGTGAACCCTGCATCCTTGTGCCCTGGATGTGAGTCCCGAGGTTCCCTGGTGGCCCCAGCTCTGCCACCAGCCCCGAAGATAGCAAGGTCTCTGCGGGCACTCATTCTGCCTCCCGAAGTGCTAAGGGACTGTGGCACGTGACCAACACTGCAGGTGGCTTAAATACTGTCACCGGCAGCCAAGAGTGACAAACAGCCAGGGCAGGGGGTCCGGTATGATGGGGGTGCAGTCATCAGAGGCCCTGTGGGCATGGCTGGGGGGATCAGGGAACAAAGGCCCCATGCAGGGGAGGGAGCGGCTGCAAAGGCCCTGACTCACCCCACAGCAGAACAGAGGAGTGGGGTGGGGTGCCAGGGAGGGCTGCTGGGGTGGGGTGCTGGGGTGCCACAGTGCTGGTGAGGGGTGCCAGGTGGGATGCCAGGGTGCTGGGGTGGGTGGGGTGCCAGGGAGGGCCGCTGGGCAAGGCCACTACAGGCTGCATGGTGGGGGGTGCCTACAGAGACAGTGTCTGGCAGGGGTGAAGGGGCTGGCAACAGTCTCCTGGGGTGGGGGGGACCAGGGTAGGGGGTAGGGGGTAAGAGGTCTGACGGCTTGGACCTGCTCCCTGGCAGAGGGAGATCTTGGCAGGGGCCACCCTGGAGGGGACAGCCTGAAACTGGCCAACCCCTCTTGCAGAGACCTCTGAGGCAGCCCCACGGCCCACCTGCCCCTCATGGGAAATCAGCCTATTTTGCATGACAGCCAAGAACAGCTTGAGGGCCTTTGCGCTTCAACCCAAAGCAGGATTTGGCACTAGAGAGCTGACAGTAAAAGCCTGACCCTTAGGAACAGTCCCTGAGCTCCTCGGGGTCAGAAGCCCTCCTGCACGGCTTGCCTGCCTAACCCTTGGACAGGGTCAGTCTGGCCACGCCCAGGTCTGCTCTGCTTACCAGGGAGGACCGGTGGCCGGTCCAGCCCCTCAGCCACCCTTGACAGGACCTCACCCAAGCTCACACAGCAGGGGACGTCCTGTTGCCTGAATGATACAAAGAAAAAAGGTGGGGCTGCAGACAGCCTGTGTCCACAGCCCCCAAGGGCCCCCAGCCCCGCAGGGACACTGACATGGTCACGCCGAATGCCCCCACACCAGCGTCTGGGGCGCCTGCCGGGTGGCTCGCCAGGGCCAGCTGCACAGTGTCCCGCTGCCACGTGCGCCACACGTCCTTTGTGGAAGCAAGAACCTAACGTGGAAATACCAAAAAGACGGTTGACTGGGAAACACAGGAAAAGCAGACTGTGGTCTGTCCTCAGCTGCCCTGCCTCGGGCCCCAGAGGTCCCTGAGTGCAGACCCTATCCTGAGGCCTGGAGGTAGGGGGCTGAAGGCCTCAGAGCAACTAGACTTTTGCCCCATGCTGGCCTCAGGGTGCACGCAGAAAGGGAGGTGAGGATGCAGCCCACCTGGCTGTGCAGGAAGGCCCCACAGTGGCTCCTTCACAGAGGGCTGACCAGGGCCCAACTCACAGCGTGCTGCTCCTGGCCAGGCCCCAGGGTGCCGGCAAGCCGGAGGAACTGCACAGACATCTCCAGGACTGAGGCCATGTCCTCCCGTCGGCCATCAAAACGGGGCAGCAGGGCCCGCAGGCGCTCACAGCTCACGGAGATCCGCTTCCTGCTTCCGGGCAAGCGACAAATGGCCATGAGTCCACTAGCCTCAGTCAGAGGAAAGGACTGAAGCCACCAGAACCCCCTCAGCAGAGCCCTGGGGGCTTCTCAGGGAGAGGAGACACAAGACCAAGGACCCTGGCTGGCCCTCTAAGTGGCCTGAGCCCTCCAGGGGTCCGTGTCAGGGCAGGAACTGGCCCTGACCCCAGGACCCCAGCCACAGCCTACCCAGACGTTTGCAGCCCCCATGGCCAGCCCAGGCCTGGACCATCACTGCTTGAGGGTGGGGTAGGAGTGGGCTCCATGCACAGTCTGGGGTCTAGAGGTCCCAGTGCACAACCTCAAGAAGCCCAGGACCTCAGGTCAAAGAGGGCAGCTGCACTGCTGGCCCCGGAACTCCCCACCCCCACTTTCCTTGTTTGCCTTGGGGACATGCTGGCTGTCCCCTTACAGCAATGGCTGCACAAAACTTCCCAGCTGCCTGAAACCCAGTCACGGCCACAAAGCTGATGTCCTCTGCCAAACCCTCCCTGTCCCAAGCCTGGTGACCCCGTCCTCCCCATTCCTGGCCGCCCACCTGCGCTCCCTCTCGCTGAGCACGTTCCGCGGGAGGCTGGGGCGGGGGCCCTCGGCCACCACAGGGGCCGTGACCCGGCCGGGGTCCTCGCAGAACTGGGCACTGCACGCCAACGAGCTGCTGCCAAGAAGAGCTGTGAGCGCCACACTCCATGAACCCCAGAAAATGCTGCAGGAAGATGCCCCGAAGGTCGTCTTCGGGGGGCAGCTGGGGGGGTGAGTGCCAGGCAGGGCCTAGGTCGCTCAGGAACTCAGCCCGGAACCCTCTCCTCCCCCAGGGCCGCGGCTCTGTCCCAGGAGGGCACTGCTGGGGGGGATGGGCACTCAGGTCCACTTGAACTGGCAGAAGGGGGTTTGGGGGCATCAGAATCCCAGGGCACGGGCCTGCTACCCGTTCCTCACCTGCACCCCCCGGAGGCGGGCTCGGGGCCCCGAGACGCCATGAGCTCAGAGCAAGAAGGCGCACTGCGTGCGGCCTAGGACCCCACGCCCGCCCCGCCCCGCATGCGGCCCGCAGCCCCGCCCACCCACGTGCGCCCCGCCCGCCCACGTGCACCACCCACTCAGCACCTCCCACGCCCACGCATGCGTGTTGCCTCCACTATGCACTTCTAGCCCTCCCCTCGCCCCAAGGTTTCCGGAAGTTGTCAGAAAATGGCAGGTCAGGCCTGCCGGCTCGCAGCCCAGCACCACGCACCCCACTTCCAGGGGGTCAGCCCAGGTCCTGTTGTGGTGTGCTGTCCCCTCACCCATCCACCCGTGGGTGCCAGAGGGGTGGGGCAGGGGACAGAAGATGATGCTGTGGAGCTGGCCGGGCCCTGAGCGCTGGGTCGGGGAGGCCGTCGGCCAACTCACACAGGGCCTGCGTGCTTCTGTGTCTGCGGGGAGGGGGAAATGGAGCTCAGAAAGGCTGCGGACATTCAGTTTTGTCAGCGTGTAAGGGCCTTGGCATTTATGGGCAATGTGAGTGGAGCCAGACTCGTTGCTCTTAGAGGGCCAGGGGTGCCCGAGAAGGCACAGCTGGCAGTGGCACTGTGGGAGGCCCCAGCGGCACCCCCACAGCCCGGCCGCCTTTCAACCTCCTCCCTGCAATGCCTGCCTGGGGAGGGGTGGATGGGCCAGGGTTCAAGGCCTGGGCTCTAATGGGGCAGAGCGGGAGCAAGTTTTGGTTTCCTTCAAGCCCTCAGAAATGCCACCTGCCTTGTTGGAGTCCCCCATTGCTGACACACTGCTCATCTCTCCCCAACCAGCCGGCAGGGCACCCAGATAGGGGTCCTGTGGGAGGCCGAGTCCTTCCTGCTGGGGGCTGTGCCCGGCCAGGACCCCTGCACGGCATCCATCTCTGCGGACCAAGGGGAAGCCCCTAGGAGGTACAACTACTGACGAGCTGGATTGGGGAGCAAGCTACACCCCTTCCGAGCACTTTGGGGCAGTGGTGCCCCTCCCACCCAAAGCATCCCTGCTCAGCCTGCTGTCTTTTGGAGGCAAAGAGGGGCAGCTCCTGAGGAGCTGCAGGCAGGGACTGGGGCCAGGGGGAAACATGCCACGTGCCCTCCAATCACCTGGCCTGGCTCTGCTCTGGGGAGACCCTGGCTCTGACTACCCCCAGGTGAATCTGGGTTGGAGCCCCAGACTTTGGGAAAAAGCTGTGTGGGTGATGCTGCTTAGCTCCCCCCCACCGCCATCTGGCTTCCCAGCGCCTCTCCCTTTGGCCCCCCACCGTCTCAGTCTCTGCAGCACTCGTGGTTCAGTGGGGCTCCAGACTGCACAGCAGACCCACCAAGGCTCCGGACGCCAGGGACAGAATGTAGGGCCCCGCATGCCTGGGGCCCTGCCTTAGGCTCCCCGGCCTGGGGGTCTGTGTGAGGGATCCTGCCTCAGGACCCTTTACTTCCTGGGAGGCCTCCCAGAGCTGGCATCCCAGGGCGGCCAGGCTGCGGCAGGATGAGGCCTCTGTGCTGCCTGCCGAGTGGTCCTTCGCATCCTGTTAGAAGGTGCTCAATTGGGGTGAGAGCCGGCAGGCTGCATCGCTTCTGCCTAAGGGGTGCAGGTGACCCTTCCCTCTCCCAGACCCAGCTGAGGCCGGCGCCTCCAAGGGCTGGTGCGCACCCACAGGGTCTCCCTGCAGGGTTCTGCATGAGTGACCAGTGTCCTGGGCGGTAGGTGTGGGCAGGTCAGAGTGGAGATGCTGGCCGACCCTCCAGCCAGCTCGGAGTCCGGCAGGACCAAGCAGCACGGTGTGGTGAGCCCCGGACACCCACGCACACTCCCCGCCCCACGAGCCCCCGCCCACCACAGAGCCTCCCCCCAGGGCGAGTGGGCCAGCGGCACGCCTGGGGGGTTCTAGTCATTAAAGAGCCGCCTACTGCTTCTCGCGGTTAGGGGGGTTCAGCACGTCGAGATGGGTGGGGCGGGTGGGGGTGCAGGCGGGGGTGCGGGCCGACCCCCTCCTGGCGTGGTTCCCGGCGCAGCCGGCAGGGGGCGCGCCCGACCAGGCCCCCGAGTCCCGACCATGCAGCAGGTTTTTTCCCTAATCGGAGAAAGGTGCTGTTTCCGCGCAGAAGAAAGAAATCTGACGCTTCCGACTCGCTTCTCCCTCGGCCCTGGGTCCGAGCGCCGCCGGCCTGCACGGAGAGACGGGGCGCGCAGCCCGGGGGCATGACTAGAGGGACGCAGGCGGGGACGCGCAGCGGAGGCCACACCAACCAGACCTTCGTGTTCGACGACGGCGGGTGCGCCTCCAGGTAGGGGCTGCTGCCCAAGGACCGCGGTCGGGGCGGGCCCCATCGCCCCGGGCACCCAGCCCTCAGGACCCGCGAGCGCCCTCCGCCCACCACCGTGGGGAGTAGGGGCGCACCTCAGGAACCGACTGTGGCGAGGGGGCGCTTACTCCAGGGCCAGCAGATGCCCTGCCGGTGTCTGTCTGGCAGCGCCCTGAGCGCGCTGGTGGCCAGAGCGTGGCCATTTGCAGATGGTTGGGGGAGCTCCGAGCCCTCCCAGGCGTGGGGAGATGAGCTGGCGGAAGGACCCGTCAGGGTGCTCCCGTGTGAGGTGGCAACTGCGCCCAAGTCAGGCACAGGAGCAAGGGCACCCCACACAGAAGCGGCTTTTCAAGGGCAATTCTTCCCAAGGAGAGTGCTGGTTGGGTGTGGGGTGCAGGTGAGCTGTCGGGTGAGGGCGGGAGTCCCGGGCCCCAGCAACTCGGGGATTCTCAGCTGGTCACTTCTTTTTCTGGGGTCTCCATTTGCCTGTTAATCAGAGGAGAGGATCAACTGACAAGGGCTTCCAGGTGGCCTGGGCGCCAGCGCGGTGGGCCACCTTTCCACCCGGTGTCCCGAGATGCCACGGGGCTCCAGCCCATCCAGGTGCACAAAGGGCTCAGCCCCTGGAGGGGCCTGGGAAGAACTGGGCGGCACAGGCCGGAGGGGGTATGCCTCGGGGTTCTGGTCCCGGGGCCCCGCCCCCTCCGGTCAGGGACGGGAGCCTGGGAAGGGGTGGGCGAGCACACCTGGAAGGTGAGCGGCTGGGCTCCGGCCAGGTGCTGCCACTGAAGGTCTCTTCTGAGGGACTCGGTTTCCTTGAAAACGTAAAGTGGGGCTGGTCTTTAAGAGCCATTGCTGGTGACATGTCGAGGATAGTGTGGTCCCTCCCCAGGGACCCCTGGCGCCTACGGGATCCTGGGGGTTACAGCCTGGGGTGAGGAGCAGGTACTCTGAGAGCAAGCCATCACCCATCACCAGTGACACCCTTGGGAAGCAGAGTTCACGGGTGAGTGAGTGCAGCTTGGACCTCCTTCTGGCCACTCTCAGGGGTCAGCCAGGTGACGTCCATCAGGTACAGAGTAAATGGCCCCAAGAGGACTTGTGATTTCTGTCATGTTGGGGGTCAGGCATCCCCCTCTGCCCATCCCATTGGGGAGCCAAAGGAGAAACCTCAGGGACAGTTTATAACTCGGCCAGCCACCCTCCCCAGCTGGGTGTCACCCTCCCTGGTGACCCATCTCCAACTTCGCCTGCCCCATGTGACCACCTGCTGCAGATGCGATGGGAGCTCTATGGCCTCAGGGTCTGAGCCTGGTGGGCCCAGTACCCCTAGACACCTCCATCCCCCACCCTCCTGTGCTGGGGACAGCCCCTCGTCCCTGCTTCTTGGACTGGCCTCTCCCTGCAGAGACTCGCTGTCCTGCAGGCTCTTCGGAGAGGCTGCCGGGGCCTAGGGAACATGGGACAGGCCGGGTGAAGTGCTCGCAGGAAGGTCAGGCTGGGTGGGGAGGTAGAACCCGGCTGGGCTTGGGCAGGGGCAGCTGAGGCCAAAGCTGGTGGCTCTGGAGGGTGGGCTTCAGCTCAGAGTAGGAAGGCCTTCTGGCTTGTGAGGGTCCAGGTGGGGAGTTCTTCAGGGCAGGTTCCTGCAGCTGGCTTCGTAGGGGGCCTGGAGCCCGGTGGCCTGGCTTTGCCCCCTGCCTAGACCTTGCGTGAGTCTCTGCACTGAAAGGAGTAGATGGTGTCAGCCATAGCATTGTGGGGCAGGCAGGGCTGGGAGTGCTGGGAGCCCTGTCTCAGCCCCACTGTCTGCCCCAGTCTATGTCCCGGGACCCTGCCTGGTGGAGGCCATCCCCCAGGCTGTGAGGCCACCAAGTGGGGATCCCAGGAGAGCTCCTGGCTCTCTGGGCTGCAGGAGCCTTTGCCCCGGTGCCTGGCCCCTGCCTGGACCCCATGCCTCCTCCTGTACTGTGGGGTCCCAGGCCCCTCTATGGTCATTGCATCTCTCTCCTGTTTCTACCCCAGGCCTGGACGCCTCTGCCCTGGAGGTGAGGCTATGGTGGGACAGGGCAGCCGAGGTGGCCCCACATCCTCCCAGGACCCTTTTCACCAAGGCCCCTGGCCAGGCCTTTCCCAGAACTGCCACTTCCCAGCAGCCCTGCTCCCTAGGCTGGAGGGGACCCTCTGCGGCTTCGTGGCAGAGGGTGCAGAGATCTGGGACTGGCATCCTTCCAGGACTCGTGCCTGGCCAGAGGTCCCAGCCAGCCCTCCAGGCCCATATTAGGGAGCAGGGCCTGCAGCACAGCAGGAAGTGAGCCAGGACTGTGGGAAAGTCTCACAGGGCCAGAGGCACAGCCCAGCCTGGCTGGCAGGACAGATGGCAACCTGGTTTGGGGGTGCTGGGGGGATCTCGGAGGTCTGCCTTTGACTGAGGTGGCTGTCGCAGCAGCTCGGAAGGACAGCGGTGAGTGAGGAGGGGTCTGGGTGCAGGGCCATGGGTGTCACATTCCCTCCCTTCAGCTCTGCCGCAGCCCTCAAGCGTGCGGGGCCGGCACTGGCCGTGGGGGTGTCCCAGCCTGGGTCTGCTGGGCCCCCACGGTGCTCAGGACACCCTGGTGTGGCGGTCATGCTCGCCTGGGGTGACTTCCCCTCTCCTGCAGGTTTGTGACCGAGTTATAAGCTGTCCCTGAGGTTCCTCCTTCGGCTCCCCAAGGATGTGGGCGTCTGCAGGCTGACCCTGCACCAGACAGGGTTTCTCTGAAACGGGGATGTCCCCCTGAGTACTCCTGACCTCCGTGGGTGAGGGGGGCTTGTGGGTGGGTACATGCACGCTGTGGCCCCAGACGCACGTAGCTGGGTGTGTGTGCACACCTGCATTCCACATGGCAAGCCGGGGCAGGGCGGGTGTGGCGCCCCTCCTTGAGTTTGAGGTGGTCCTGCCCTGCCTGGTGCTGGCGTGGGGGCCTCTGGGTGGGGCCCCAAGACAGGTGCTGGCCTAGGAGGGGCATCCAATTACCCAGGGAGGTTTAGGGGTGTCTTGGGGATTCTCCGGGCTTTGTGTGGATGGGGCCACCCAGGCTCGCCCGGACTTCTTCCTCCTACGGAACTTGGGCGTGAGCCCGGGGCCTGGCCCTGGGAGGCGCGGTCCGTACTGACCCGTACTGGGCACCGGCGAGCTCAGAACATTTGTGGAGACAAAGGCAGGAGCAGGGGGCCCTCTTCCTGGGCTGCGTCCCGGGAAGGCCTTTCCTGAGAGGCCTGCTTTGTCCCTTGGCCCCCAGCTCTGGGGCGAGGCCTGGGTCTCCTGCAGTCACTCTGGGTACAGCTGGCCCCTCCTGCGTGGGGTAGTGAGGAGCAGAGGCCGCCCCACCGTGCCAGCCCAGCCTGCCTGTGGTGCTCCCACATGTTGACAGTGACATAACCAGAGGCTCCCTGCCAGGGACCTGGGCTCCTCAGCTGGCACTGGTCTGTTTGAAAGAAGGGCAGACACCACCTCCTGGCTGGTGGAGGGGGTCCAGGGGCTCCTGGAGACCCAGCAGCCACGGGAGGGTGCTGTAGCCAGGGGTGCAAGCCCCACGGGGTGCTCTGTGCCAGCAGGTGCCAGCTGCCAGCCGTCCCAGAGGCTCGACTCCCTGCGGCCCTAGCACATTCCTCCTGTCAGCTCTGACCCTGCCGATCAGCCTGAGCTGTCTGTCACCCATCACATTGGGACAGAGAATAAAATCGTGTTTTTCCCACATAGCAGGTAGTGGGGAGAAGCCGGGGTCAAGAGCGTGAGTCAGGCCCAGCATCCACGTGCGGCATCCGTCATGGCTGCACTGGGGGATAGGAGGTTAGCCCTCCAGCCGGGCAGTGGCTTCTGGGGCCTCCTAGGGCCCATAGCCAAGGACTAAGGGGACCTGGTGGCCTGAGGACCTTCCTGCACTGCCTCCGACTCCCTGACCCCGTGTACTGTGGAAGCAGCCAGGCCTAGGGAGGTTGAACACCTTCTCCACTGACCCACGCCACCTGATTCCCATTCTCCTGGGAGACCCCTGTGCACAGACCCCTGGCCCCAGCTCAGGGTCTTGCCCCAGCTATGACAGTCCCTGGCATGCACAAGGCCCGGGAGAGGCTGGCAGTCTGGTGTGGCGCCCTCATGGGGCTGTTGGGGCACCATGACCTGGAGATGATGCTATGCCCACCTAGGCCTCTCCTCAGCAGGTGTCTAAGACCTTGGGGATGTGGTGCCCTGTGACAGAGATGGTAGCCCTCGACGGTGGGAGGCAACTCAGCCTTCGCCCATAAGCAGAGCAGCCCCTGCCCACAGGATAGGCTCCACTCCTGCCCATGGGATGGGTCCTGCCAAAGCCTTCAGAGATCTTCCCAGAGATCCCGGAGACTGGGCCAAACTGCCGGACGCTCCTCGGAAGATTCTTTCTTGGGAGGAGCTCAGAGTCTCAGATCAGCAGCAGAGCCTCTAGGTGCCATGAAGCTCAGAATTTCACCCCACCCAGCTGATATGGGGGCCCCTAGGGTGTGGGAGAACCAGTCTGGAGGTCTGGCTGGTGTCTGAGGACAAAGGAGGGGAAGCGGGCCAGGGAGTTTGGTCCTCTGGGATGCTGAGGGCTCAAGGCTCTAAGGGGCAAGGGGTCAGCACTGCCCCAGCAGCCGGCTCAGGCCCGTGTGCAGTCAGCCACCAGGCCCCTCCAGGTGGCCACCGTGTGTCCAGTCAGGGTGCAGCAACCCGGGCAGCTTCAGCCAGGGGATGGGCTGGTGGTAGGATCGGGCAAGGGTCCCAGGCACCCGGGGGTGAGTGCTGGGCCCTGCCACCTGGTCATGGCCTTGCCCCTGACCCTGAGTGACTCGGGCATGTGGCATCCCTGCTGGGGTACATGCAGCAGGGGAGCATTCCTGGGAAGCTGGCCCAAGTCCAGGTGGGCGGCGGGGCAGGTAGGTGGGAACCACAGTCCCCCATGCTCCGGCCTCACTCGTGCCCTGGGGGT